TTAAGTGCGCATCTTATAGCATTTGCTTTACAATACCTTTTAACAGATTGGTTTCCAATACGACCAATTCTTGCTTAAATAGTTTTATAACGTATTTGTCAACAGGATTTCAATTTATGTTTACAATTCAATATTAAGGTTATTATATATTTAGATAACATTTATAATCATTATAAATTAGATATATTTAATCATTAGATTTCTTCACAGTACTTTCACAGTTGTTTATAAGTGAATAAATTCTTCATTTCAAATACATTTATAAATAATTTAATGAATATTTAAGTATTTTGTCAAAGGCAGATACATGCTTTTTGCAAGCACATGCATAAATACCCGTACATATTTCCTATTTATCATTTCCGGCATGTGCAAATCTTTAATTTCTGTGCATTCACTATATTTTTCGTGTAAAGTAATTTACACTAATTTAGCATACACCCGAAAGTTTTACATAAAAAATATATATGAATATAATTGGAATGAAAATTATAGGTATTATTTTTAATACCCACTCAAAGGTCAGTTTTTCTTCAAAATTCCTCCACGATGGCATCTCTCTCTTTAGGCAGATAGCCCTTGCATGCGTTACTCTATTTAATAAAAACTTAATCTGACCTATGTGCCTAATTACAAATATTTTAACATACATAATTTTATATTTACATTTAGCCATCAAGTTTCAAACTTTTCAAATCTTCTAGAAAATAAATTTTGGCAGATCTCTTTTAGCAATCAATTTTCTTAAAATCTATATTTTTGTAGTGCAACAGCTTAGAATTTTATAAAACAAATTCATAATCAAAAATCGCTGTGTTAGTTATCGAAAAATAACCAAGATGTGATTTTGCGTAAATGTCAGTAAACTATACAAATTGATATTGTCCATTTACAACTATGATGTTTTTTTTTTAGATCTAGAGGGGGCAAGCCGGGGTCTGTGCCCCGGGCGGCAAATTCAAGCGTGTTACTGGATCGTATTTGGAATGTTGTCTAATTTTTGATACAATATTAGTAATTTTAAAGACCACTTTTAAGAATATTTATAATTAATTACTAAGAAACATTTTAATGAAACAAACAGTTAAAAGAAAGCTAAGTACATCCGAATACGACTGTAAAGATAAGATCAGAGAGAGGACAATCGAGGAACTGCAGGCGTCACTGACAAGGTCAGACGACCCTGTCCTCGAGGCTCGCGCCTCTGCCAACTCAACACAGCCTAAATATAATAGATCTGGGGGGGGGGTGTTGACCAACCTCATTTGATTTTTCACTGCCGTTCGCTTGCCTTCCCAAAAGGGATTATTGCCCCTTTTATGCAAGCTCACTTCAAAATGTCTTGCCCGATCGTATACCAACTTCGCGGAATTAATTGAAGCCCTCCTCAATTCTCTAAGGAGGTAAGAAAGGAGGTTATTTCCTACCTCCATGCAATTCTCCTCGACAACTAACAATGGTCAACTTTTCAGTCCCTCACTTTAATGTACAAAGGGTGACACACAAAGAAGAAACTATGAATTACGAACGAATTACTTTCTTTTATACTCATATTATATTTTTATAATAAAGAATGATGAGTCAGAACTTGTTTATGCTCCACAGGAATTAAAAAATTTTCAAGTTGCAACATTTAGCTGCTATATGTTATTTTTGACAATTATTATATAAAGAAGAAATTTGGGACTTAAGTAGTTAAAATCTTGCAAAGCGATAGTTAATGTACTAAAATATTATCTCCCAATTCTTGAAATTAAAAGTGGTCAATTAATGTCAAAAACTAAATAGGAAAAAATTGAAATTAAACTGAGTTATCGTGTTTCTTAAAATTACCATCCATATTTACTGATGTAATTTTAAGAAGTGTAATAACCGAGTTTAATTTGAATTTTCTCCTATTTAGTTTTAACATTACTTGTCCACTTTTAACTTCACTTTGGAGGTAATGTTTAATATATCAGTTTTGACGTATGTAAACCAGATAAATTAATGAACCTACAAGAAATTGATATATATATATATTAAATCAACCTATCAAATATCGGATTTAAGAGAAGATACTACAGTACTAATATTAATTTGTATCGCAGTTTAATTTTTTTTTTTTTTCTTAGATAAATATTTATGAATTTTCTTAGATCTTAAATTTCAAATTCAACATTTTAGGTAAATAGTTCTAATCTAATTTTAAAATTCTTTTCATTGAATCCCAAAATTCGGCTTGTTAAACGGTTCTAAATTCATACAAATATTGTTATAATATATGTCATATTAAGCCGTTATTTACTTTTCCAATTTTTAATCACTGAACTTGAAGTTACTTAACTTTCTTACAGACTCCATATTTTAAGAAATATAAGAAATGTTAAAAAATTTATTTTGTTTTCCAATACTTCTCTCACCGATATGCAATGAAACACATTTAATTTAATTAAACACATACACGTTTAATTAATCATTATGAACATATGAAACATGTTCATAATTATACAAAAAAATTTCTAACTTCCTTCTATTCATCGCTTAAAAATTTTTAATGTCCTGTTCACCCATTTCTTTTTAAACTTGCATTATATATTTCTTTTTGCTATACATTAGAATTTGATATTTGTATATTGTTGTATTGTATTCATCCAATTTGTATTTAAATGATAATTTTTAGAAAGTTCTGCATCATAACTCTAGTTAACAGAAGATGTTTCTAACGTCTTCGTGTTGATGAATCGTTAGTATGCATCTTATTTTTCAGTTTAGGTTTAGGTTTCAATAAAACTATTTTTAAAGAGAGATGACGCTGAGTTATGCTAATAATATCTCTAACTGTCGCTATTTATAATACAAGTTAACGTGATTAATAGTATAGCTCATTTACAATTTTTATAAAAAATTTCCAGCCATACCGGAAATAATAGCAAATGCTCCTAATATTTTGATTACATTTTCTTCTTCCTTTATATTTTTGTGATATAATGTTTCATGATTGCATAGAGATAAATGTAATTCATTTACCAGATATGTAAATCTATATTCAGCGCACTTTTGCGTTTACTAATATTGTACCTTCTATCTTCTTTAATATATTGTTCAACACACAGCATCTCATAAGACTAATTTCAAGAGCTGTGCGTTCACCAGCGATCAAGCGGTAAAGTCATTAAACATTGGTAATTTGACCGAAGTTTCAAATTCAAGAGAATGATTTGGCTGCATGACAGTTTTCGTGGCTTTTCCTCATATGTAACGTGAGTACGAGCCAGTTTATCTTGAAAATTTGCTCCTACTAGTGACCGAATTGAAAACCGCTGTACGCTAGGTTCAATCGCAGGCGAACAAGTTGGCTGAGGCAGATATCCTTCGGGTACTTTGCCATAACATACAAACCAAGAGCTCTTTCTTTTGTGTGAATATGTAAATATTTATACTGTTATCGGGTTGTGTGAGGACGATAGTAGAGTTCTTGAGTAGTCTACATAAAGGCATTATAGTGAAATGAAATTTTAAAGTGCTAGGTTAAAATCACTGTTAATTTCGAGAAATTGGTGTGTTAATTACTGAATCCATTGCATTCGTGATTTGTAACTTGTATATATTTGTTTCAGATATTAATTAGTAATGTGTCATTCCTATTTTTTGTACTATTCTGAACTGCTTTAGTATTTAGGACTGAATCATTTTCCATTAGTTTGGCTAGTTATTGTTGCAAATATTTCAAAACTGCATATTTCAGAGAATTTCTATGTAAATTTGATTATTACAGTGCAAAAATAGTGTGAATATGTAAATATTTTGAATATATAAATATATGGTATCGAGCTGGTTTATTATGTTATCGAGCTGTGTGAGGACGATAATAGAGTTCTTGAGTAGTTTACATAAAGGCGTTATTGCGAATTTTAACGTGCTAGGTTAAAGTTACTGTTAGTATAGAGAAATTGGTATAAAATTATTAAATCCATTGCATCAGTGATTTGTAATTTGCTTATATTTGTTTACATGAAATTTTTAATTATTTAATAATGTGTGATTCCCATTTTTGTACTGTGCTGAACTATTTTAGTGTTTTGTATTGAATCGTTTTCTATTAGTATCATTTATTAGTATGAGTAACTATTTCTGCAAATATTGAAAAAATGCCTATTTCAGGGAAAATGCAAATTTGATTATTTCATTGCACAGGAGAGACAGCTGCATTAGGAGGGTTCGCGAGGTTTTTATCCGTGTAACTTTTGATATGTATGTGGGGCCTCCGCCCACCAGCGACCGAGCGTAAAGTCGCTGAACACTGGTAGTTCGGTCCGAGGTTCGAATCCCGCGAACGGGCTGGCTGCATGGGTGTTTTCGTGGTTTTTCCCATTTGTAACGTGTATACGAGCCAGTTTGCCTTAGAAAGTCCTCCACGAAGGCATCTCTCCCCTTAGGCAGATAGCCCTAGTGTGCTTTGCCATAATTAAATACACCGTATGTCGGGCCTCCAGCGGCTGAGCGGTAAACTCTGAACACTCGTAGTTCGGTCAGGGGTTAGAATCCCGGCGAATTTGCTGGCTCCATGGGCGTTTCCGTCGTTTCACTCATGTGTTATTTGCATACAAGCCAATTACTCTTAGAAAGCCCTCAGCGAAGGCATCTCTCTTCTTAGGCACATAGCCCTCTTATGCTTTGCCGTAAGTAAAGAAACTAAACAATTTGTTATGTATATTTCTTTTATTACAAAAATGGCACATAAAGAATTTCTTTCTATAAAATGGATTTTACATTTTATCTCAAACCTTACCTATTTCTATGTTTATTAAAAAAAAAAATTGAAATTTGTTAGAGAAACTTAAAGGAAGATAAGTGAGGGCGGCAGTTTTAAATTTTTGCTCCGCCTAGGAAAAATGCTAAGTCCGGCGCTGCTAGCACGTCCAGCTGTCATGAAGACCAAACAGTAGCTTATTCTTGCTGATTTTTATGGCAGTTTATGTATGATCGATGTGCATAGTAAAAAACTAGCCATGAATTTATTTATAAGTCAAATGAAAGAGTTTACACAATTCTTTTTAAGCTGTACAGTTATTAAACTATGTACGATTAGCTAAAAAATTATTTTATTTTAGTAATTGAGTTTGTACATGCACTTTAACACATTGACTGCCATGTGCGTCATCAATGATTCACAGCGGCCTTACTTTTCGGAGCCATGCTCATCGAATGTGACTCAAATTTTGTATTGTTTGAAGCTGTGCTTCATCGGTGCTTCACCAATGCACCAATTTATATGGTTAAAATTATTTCTACGGGTTCAGGAAGTATTCTTGGTACTACGGATATTCTTGGCTTCCGGCTTCTGGAAGCTTTTTTTCATAGATTCTTATCTGAATTTAATATAGATTTTGCTGCAATTAAGTAATCATTATTTAGGAAATAAAACAACGAAGTTATAATTAAATGGGATTGTGTTGTTTATTGAAAGAATACAAGACTAGTGGTATATTTTAAGATGTTTACACATTCACTGAGTTATTTATTTTTGGTAATGTATTATGTTTTATTATTTGTATTGTAATACACTATTTGTCTTAATTTTACCAATTTTTCATATTGAGACATAGAACTCTTGTGTTAATTTACAATGAACTGAAATGTAATCTATTTATTGTTTAAAATATAAATAGGATTTATATTTATAAATAGGATTTATATTTTAAACCTGTTATTTGTTTATCTATTTATTAAATATTCATAAAAATATATTCAGATTAGGTACTGAACTGATTTTTAGGATAAAGGGGACACGAAACCACTAGAATTAAAAAAAAGGATCCGACGGAATATTTTACCAGATTTTGCTGTGGCAGTCAACGTGTTAAATAAAGATTCTTTCCAAGTACCCTAAAAAACTTTGATTTTAGAAAACATCAATTATGTCCGGGATGTATTAGAAAATTTGTTATATTTATAATACCGATTAAATCTTCAGCCATGGCATGTGAGTCCCCAAGAGCGACATAATGATATATTTCATTATGTCGCTCTTTACTATCCATTAAAATGGGGGTATCGCCTCAGCCAGAGGTTCATTGTAGCCCACTTTAGGCCAAAGATTTAAATATACATAAAATATTAATATGCAATTTAAATAATGAACGTCTATAATGAAAATAATGAATGTCTATTCAACATGCATACTTATTGAATAACAGGCTGCGCAAAACCATTCTTGAGCCTCTTCCAAACCGCAAGTTATGTTCGCACAGCTCCAGTGAAACCATTTCTCGCATTTATCGCACTGTATCATATTAGTGCTTGCACTTGATAATTCACATGAAAAACATTTCCACATTTCTTTTTTTTCTTTTATAATTAGTTGAATTCTGTTCCACGCATCTTCACTGAATAAATTTCTAATACATGATATTGAGCAATCAATAATAGAATCATCAATAGCTTCCGTAGCTAAAATATGTTCTATTCCTAGCGGGCAGCCATCCTCAAATAGAGACTTCGTAATTTTTCTGTTTATTAGCATATTTAATAATTTCTGCTGATGGTTGCTAACAATAAAAACTTTTGAAAGTGGAATTTTTCTTTGTGTTGTTACAGAAGGTGCAGTTTGCTCTGCAGGTACCAAGCTCTTACAATAAGCGTCATGGTCGCTTACTGTTTTTACTGTTTCTTTAAGCAAAGTATTCCTTATATCTTCTTTTTCTTCAACTGAGGGTTTCCCAAAGCGAACTGAACTTTTTCTCTTTTTCTTTGTCGAAAAAAATGACTGTTGAGTTTGGATGTTCTTTGAAACTGAAGCAGGTTGTAAATCTAAGTCCTCGTTTTCAATATTTAAAAAAATTACTATATTGTGTAACATTTTATTGACTTCAATTATTTTTGAGCTATCTCGAATATGATTCAAAGAATTAACCTTTGACTGAATTTGAAGTAATAATTTGTCAGTAGTGGCTGTTGTGTTTATATTATTTACAGGAAGTTTCAAGAGCTTTTGTGCAACCGTATCTGCACGTGCACCTTGCGACTCCTCACTACAATGTGTATCATTCCGGTAAAGTCTACAAATTAAATGAATGTGTTTGCAGATATTACCTCGCAAAATGCTATCAGTGCAAGAACATTTTGCTTGGTGAATACAAATTTTGTACTTCGAGCATTTGACACTACATGCATCAGGGCATGCTTCATTTAAAATTTCAACGTTATAATTCATTTTTTCCCTTGAATAATATAGGAATTTTCAGTTTCTTTAATGACAGTGTTAACATCCATCTCATTACTCTTCTTATGACTATCGGCAATAATTTTGTTTTTCGAGGTTATTTTTCCTCTTTCTAGTTTCATAATACGTTGCCACCCTTTATGTCTTACATATTCCAACAACTGATGAATGCAGTTATCAAGTCTCCGATTTGATTTTCCACCTAGAAACGTATATTTGAAATTTTTGTGGAAAGATTCTAAATGGTTGTTTGTATGAACTTCAGCCTCAGTTCTATAGCACATGGCTATTTCTTTCATTCTCTTTCCATATGTATTAAAAAAATATGAAGCAAATTTGTTTGTTTCCTGATGTTCTACGAGATCAAGTTTCACTTTTGCAAACATTTCTGTGAAGGTGTTCTCATCCTTTTCTTGGAACACCACAGTTAAAGTTTTGTAAACCTCGGCAGCAATTATCTTCTCATTTATTAAATGTTCAATTTTACTCCTTATTGCTCTGTCAAAGTGCCAGGAACAAAGCAGCTTCTTTGCATTGCAGCCGAATACATCGATTCCATGCTTTGTAGTAAGAGGGTGCGTCATCCGACATAAAAAAATTGGAAGATATATTGCAATTTAAATTAGCTTTAACTAGCTGAAAAAATTTTTTAAGAGAAGTAAAATCTTCTCTGTTGCACATGCACCAAGCAACTGGGAATCCCTCATTAAAATCATCAATTACCAGTATAGTGATAAGTTTGAAATCGTACGCATTCGTACCATGAGTAGAATCTACGCATATTACTTTGTGACCAAATTTAACCATCATTTCCTTCTGCAATGGGTGTTGAAGCGCAAGAAAAAAATCTTCTGCTTCAAATTCACAGAATTCAGTTTTTACTGATCCTTGAAATTTAACATTTAGCAATGGAGAGTGTTCTGGCTCAAGAGATTTCATATCTTCAAGCATCAACATAACGCTAATTGCGTCATCAGGATGCCGCTGTGTTTTTAGTCCAAAGCTTTCCTTTATATTTACAATATCTTGCCTAGAAGTCAAATGATACCTCGATATGACATCTGAAGATATATCGTTTCTTATATCGCGCAAAATGTTGTATGTGCTAATATTTTGTTTTATTTTTTGAGAAATTTTGTTTTTTTCTCCTTCAGATAATCTCATAAGACCTACAATTTTACTATGTCCGTAATGTTGTTCAAAAAAGTAAACGAGTACATGACCCGTATCTTTAATTATTGATAGTATTTCTGATGTGCATAAACACCCGCTTCTAACAGTCTTTGTGAAATTTCTATTATTACTTTTAAACTCATGCATTCCACTGCGAAAACAAAAAAAATAAGTATATTTACCATTCTTATAAATATGACTGCCATAATGTTTCACATAATTAACCTTTTGGTCCTTTTCAAATTCTTCTTTCCAAGCATCAAATTCTTGATATACTGTTATTATTATATCATATAAACACTGTTATCATAAACTGCAGTTTGAAAGAAAAGAAAAAGTTTTTTTCAGTAACTTTTTCTGCAGGTTCAAATGGGAAGCTGTTAGATGGTTCCTTAATTCTCGAGCTGTATTCACATAATGACTGCAACCTTCTTCTTGGCATTTATATTTACCTGTAGCCCCTATATAGGAATAAAATATTTTTTTTTAGAATGACTGTATTTATAAAACTCAGATTATATATTTAACAGAATATCATCGAATATTCCAGCAACACGTAATTTGCGTTAAATCATGCAGCACAAAAAAAAAAAAAAAAAAAGTAAATTTAGCATTGCAGCAAAAAAAGGAATATATATAAGTTATAAATTAAATTAAAAAGAAATTTAAATAAATTAATTAGAAAAGGTGTACTCTTCTGTTATCGGGTGAATTAAAAATAATTAATAAGAAAAGGGGTGCTTTTCTGTTATCGGGACCGGGTTCAAAAGTGTGTGTATGTATGCACATGTGTATGTGCGTACACATATACATACGTACATTAACACATTCATCCATTCATCTATACATGCATTGCATATATACATTTCTGGCTCACCAGCGGACGAGCGGTAAAGACGCTGAACACTGCTAATTCGGTCCGAGGTTCGAATCCCGCGAACGGGTGCAAAGGCGTTTTCGTGGTTTTCCTCTTAGAAAGTCCTCCACGAAGGCATCCCTACCTTTAGGCAGATAACCCTCGTGTGCTTTGCCATAATTAAATAATCCAATCCAATCCAATATACATTTCTGAATCCGGTGCCGATAAGAGAAGAATACCAGAAAAGGTTCTGCCTTGCCTTAATGACTAAAAACAATGATATTACATTATTGAATAAAAAGTTATAGTTCTGAATGTGTATATCCTTGTTTTAGTTAATATTCTCTTTTAATAAATGTAAAAATATCAATTGCTAATATTTTTTGTATAGATAATATAGCATTGATATTTACTCAGAATGTTAAAAGTTTCCGGTATGACATCATTCTTGAACAGAGCTTCATCTGACAGCTCAATTAATTAAAAAACATAATATTCAAATTATAGTTTTTTACAAATATTTTTATACTTACCAATAGTTAATAATCAATATATTTTGGTATATTTATAGACAAGTAAATGAATGTATAGAATGGTCTGCTTTCATAACTAAATTACAATTGTCATTTCATTCCATTTGTCCTGCTTTGTCCCAATGAAAATGTGGTCACTTTACTATAGGGATAATATTCATGTCGATGATTTAGGAAATAGACACGAAGACTAAATATTAAGGATTTAAACATAAAACAACAATGAATTCAAACATAGCCAAGTTAAAAAAAAATTGTTAAAGGGGTCGTAGTCATAATATCCATTAAACGTATTAACAGACGCTTAATATCTGCGATTAATACCAAACAACTATTGAATCTTGTGTTTTAGATTTCTTCAATAAGAAAAAGAAAATAATTTAAAGCTTTTTTATAAATTGATATTAATACATTTCATTTTCAACCATTTATTATAAAAGAGTAAAATTTTTATGTAATATAATGAATATTATTCTCTGTGTTATAAAAAAATCTTTCTAACAATATATCATTTTCACAAAGTTTCGCTGCTTTAATGATGAGAAAAAGGAAGATATAATGGATATACAACACTAAAAAAATATTATGCAATAGGTAATTTTTACTGCAATAAAATGTGATGATAATTTAAATGCCTCATTAATACTTTCACTTTAGTCTCACTCTACAATAAGTGTGCTATATTTAATACTATCATACATATATACATTTTTTTTTCTTTTGTATATTTCTTGGGAATA